AGGTATGGGTCCTGTTTCATTTTTCTTCAGATAGATACCCAGTTTTATCAGCACCATTTGTTGAAGAGACTGTCTCTTCCCCATTTAATGGACTTTGGCCCTTTGTTGAAGATCAGCTGTCCACAGATGGATGGATTTACTTCTGGGTTCTCGATTCTGTTCCATTGGTCTGTGTGTCTGTCGTTGTAGTATGAGACTGTTTTGACTACCAATAGTAGATTCTGAGGTCACGTGGTGTGAGACCTCCTACTTTGTTCTCTTCAATAATGCTTTACTTATCCAGAGCCTCTTTGCTTTCCATATGAAGTTGGTGATTAGTTTTTACATCTCTTTGAAGAATGCTGTTGAGAAAGCTTGGCTTTTTTAACTAAATAGGAGCAGCCACAGCCAAAGGATGGTGATGTGACGGCTGCCGCCAAGGCCGACAGCAGGTGTCGTGGTATGTGATACACAGAGCCTTCAGTCTGCCTGATGCTTGGAAGGCAAGAAGGGATAGCCCATCCGTCAGATCCCAAACTAGGAGTCAGACGGTATCCATCAAGCCAGAAGCTCGTGCCTTGCTGGTGATATTCAATGGTCCACTGCAAACACCCCACAGGAAGTGTGACGTAGTAGCAGCTCGAGTTGTGGAGCTGAAGGGACCCCCGGCTTCTGTGGTCTGCGTTGCATCATGGGGGAAGTGTCTGGAAAAGGAGAGTGATCCTGCTGAGCCCGGTACCAGGTGTTCACAGCCAGAGGACCTTCAGAGGGTAGCAGTCACAGCAGTGACACACACTGCATCCTCTGGGGGGTATTTGAAGGACTCAGGAGGTCTGCCCTCTGAGAAGACATGGGGTATGATGGGGTCTTGGGGTCCCTGAAGGGTTGCCATGGAGAGGAGAGATTAGATTTGACCACAGGGTTGGAATTAGAACACATGGGTGAAAGGCTCATTTGGTGCTGTATGTAGAAGAGCTTCGTCTTGGTCTTAGTTGCCCCAGAATGGCTTGTGCCTTGGGAGGTTGATGTCAAGAACTGTGAAGGAGCTGAGATTTTTACCTGATATACAAACTAACAAGGTAGCCTGCCACAGTTTATTGGATGCTGGCAGAAGACACGAGACTTCTCACACAGACAAAGGACAGTTTATTACTCCCAGTACAGCAAGTAACATGGGCAACAGCATATTTGCCTCTACGGCCCACAGAGGTGCGGTGGATGGCCAAGATCAATGCCTGCACGTGCGGTGGGTTGTGTCATAGGAGAGGAACCCTGAGCTTAGGGGCCTTAGGCAGGTCACTCGACCTGCATCTCGCTTGCCTCATCTCTAATGTGGGTGACGACAGCATCTGCTTCCAAAGGCTCTTGTCAGAAGTGGAGACGTGACAGGAAAGCACCTAGCATCTAATAGATGCTTGATCAGTTTTCCTCAGATCTTACATGTCTGCATAAAATGATGGGAAACAAATGCAGAAAAGTTTGGATTCTATCAGAAGAAATTAATTTTACATCTCAAAGGATTCCTTGGTACAGCAGTAAGCAGTATTAGCTTAAGGGAGTGTGAGGCATCAAGATAAAGGAGGGAATAACTCACAGAAAAGCACTGCTCAGGTTCATGTGTAAAGATAAAAATGCTGGCATCATCGGTTAGTTTGACACTTAAATGATGCTGCAACTTAATCTCGAGTTTGGGGCAGATTCCTGAAAATGTGTGTATTTTTCTACAACAAAGCATGTTTTCTTATAAACGTCCCATATCATTTCTGAGCTACCTTCTCACATGATAAGTTCAGCTCTAGAGTGTTGAAAATTCACTGGTGGAGTGTTAGGCCTTTATGCAGAATGTACATCCTTGTGTTTTCATTTTACCATGTCTCCTTCACCAACAATTCCTAGAGCCCTAGAGGAAGAAGGAAGGAGGCTCAGGGAAGTTATGATGAACTTGTCCCTGGATGGTGGGAGGCCCGGCTTGCCTTCTTTGGTAACCCAGCTGCTGTTTTGTGAGTGTTGCCCGTGGGCCAGCACTTCACAGGACCTCACTCCTTTCTCAAGCACTCTTCTTTTTCATCAAAAAAGCTCTGGGTGCACACTACCATCACCCCCACTCACAGATGTTCAGGAATGTTCCCAGACCTGGCTGGCCTGGCACATGGGTGTGGGTGATAAATGGAGAAATTTAGCAGATCTCACCATCCAAAAGTCACAGAGAGCTATTTCTGACATGGCTCAAGCAGTGTAAATGACAATGATTTTTACTTAGGGGGAAAAAGAACTTAAGTCTCCCTTTAAAAAACAAAAGCAGTATTCTGTCAGTTACCCACTAACTCCTTGATAACAGTGGACCTGGCTCTAATAGATAAGTGAAGGGCTGCTTGGGGCACGGGCAGGCAGGACAGGTCCTGAGAGGAGGTGGCTACCACTTTTCCCTCTGGACAGTGTTTTAGAAAATTTGTGTTTCTTAAAGAATCTTGGCTTCTCAGGTCTTCTGTAGGTGTTTGCGAGTGTCTCTCCACACAGCACACTCTGCCTGCCCCGTTCACTAGCATCTCCACTTTCTTCCTGACCCTGAGTCTCTCCACCTTCCTGACAAGCTTGCCCACAGGTAGTGGTGGTTGTTGATTTCAGAGAAGTTCCCCATAGGGTTTCCTAGGCTGTAATCTTTTCGGGAGCAGATCACCAGGTCTTTTCTTCCCATAGATTACTCCACTGAAAACACATTTGGCTGCTTCCGGGGTAGTTCAGCCCCCAAGGGCTTGGCCCCTCCTTCCCTCCAGACAGGCCTGGTGTTGCTCCTCAGCCCCCTGTCTGCACCCTGCTTTTCCTGCCAAGCCCTTGCCCTCCTCCTCTTCTCTGCCCCAAGGCCTTGCCTACCTGTCAGCCTTCTCTAATCTTACTGTCCTCCCTGGCCCTGCTCCATGCAGTCCTCCCCTGGGTCAGGAGTAGATCATGGAGAGGTTCAGAGCTGTTGCGCGCCATCTTGCTCCCCAGCAGAGGAGCTTGGTGTACTGTGTACTGGGAGTGTCCAGGGAAGCTGAGGCTTGAGGAGTGGGGCTTTTTTTTTTTTTTTTTAACTGTTACTTTGGCAAAAATACAGATTACAAAATGTGCCATTTTACTTTATTTTTTGTTGTTGTTGAAAATATACACAGCAGAGTTCAACAGTTTCTACATGTACAATTTAATGACATTGATTACGTTCACTATGTTTTACAACCATCACCATTATCAGTTTCCAAATTTTTTCACCACACAACCAACTCAGTGCCCTTTCAACAATAACTTCCCCTTTCCTCCTTCCACCTGCCACCCCTGGTAACCACTAATAAACTGTGCATGTGCCTATTCTAGATATTTCATGTAAGTGGGATCATATAATTGTCCTTTTGTGTCTGACTTGTTTCACTTAGCATGATGTTTTTAAGGTTCATACATGCTGTAACATACATCAGAGCTTCATTTCTCTTTATGACTGAGTAATACTCCATTGTTGGATAAACCACAATTTGCTTATCCATCATCTGTTGATGAACACTTGAACTGTTTCCACCTTTTGGCTATTGTGAATAGTGCTGCTATGAACATTGGTGTACACGTGTCTGTTTGAGTCTCTGCTTTCAATTCTTTTGTTTTTATATATATAATTTATTTTTGTTGTTGAGAATATACACAGCAGAACATACACCAATTCAACAGTTTCTGCATGTACAATTCAATAACATTGATTACATTCTGTAAGTTGTGCAGTCATTCTCACCCTCCTTTTTTGAGTTGTTTTTCCCCCATTAACATAAAATCCCTTCTCAACCTTGAGTTCCCTGTCACCAGCTTTCCTGTCCCTCCTGCCTTTTAGTCCTTGTCCCTGGACTGCTGTGCCTCATTAGTCCTGTTTTGTTTTATGGGACTGTCCAATCCCTGTCTGAATGGTGAACCTCGGGAGTGACTTCACCACTGAGCTAAAAGGGTGTCCGGGGGTATGTTTAACTTTTTGAGGAACTCCAAACTATTTTCCCAAGTGGCTACACCATTTTACATTCCCACCAGCAATGTATGAGGGTTCCAATTTCTCTACATCCTCACCAACACTTGCTTTCGTTTTCCTGATCATAGCCATCCTAGTGGGTGTGAAGTGATATCTCATTATAGTTCTGATTTGTATCTCCCTAAGAGGCAAGGTTTTAGTGGGGCCTGCCAAGAGTGGGCCTGGCACTCTGCCAAGCTTGGATTTCTTTGGGTTGGGTGTGGCCTGACAGGCCTGGGGCTGCTTTTCTCCTGGGAGGAGTACCCAGGAGAGCTAAACACGGAGCAGCCTGGAGGGCCTCGCTTAGCCCTGGGGATGAGGGGGGGTGACAAAGAACACTTTTTCTTGGACAACTCCTAGAGGCTCCTGGGGCCGTCAGAGTGTGCAGGCTGCCTTTAGGGGGCGGTCCTTGGGGGCTGGGGTGGGGCTGTGGCCCTGCCTGGCCACCAGCTCCCAAGGGTCCAGCCATCAAGCCGCATGCTGGTATGTGGGTCTGGACTGACTCCACTCTGAGGAGACAGAACTCGCCAGAATTTGGGTCCAAAATACCTCTTAGACCCATCAGCATGCCGAGTTATGTACAGGGCTGGGCTTTATTTACCTCTGGTGTGGGTCCTGAGAGGAGCCCTGGTGGCTCAGTGGTTAAGTGCTCAGCTGTTAATCAAAAGGTTGACTATGGAAGAAAGATGTGGCAGTTGGCTTCCGTAAAGATTATAGCCTAGGAAACCCTATAGGGCAGTTCTTCTCGACAGTTCGGAATCGACTGAGTGGCAATGGGTTTGGTTATGGTGGGTCCTGAGAGCAGGATGGCCATCTCAGACCTTTTCAGTTGAGCAGACATCTTGCTCTAGAAATACTGACTGATTGTTGGGTTGTCCTGAACGTGACAAGTCTTCAATTGCTGTAAATCAGTTTCTCAAGTAAACAAATGTAAACAGAACATTCCTTTCTCAAATACAGGTTTGTGAACTGTGTGTTTATTTCACTCTCTTTTTTCTTCCAGGACAACCCTCCATATGATAAGGGGGCCTTCAGAATTGAAATCAACTTTCCAGCAGAATACCCATTCAAACCACCGAAGATCACGTTTAAAACAAAGATCTATCACCCGAACATTGATGAAAAGGGGCAGGTCTGTCTGCCAGTAATTAGTGCTGAAAACTGGAAGCCAGCAACCAAAACCGACCAAGGTGAGACATTCTCTTTGTGGTTTACATAGGTGGTGCCCCTCTGGGGATGTCACTGGGGAGTAGAGAGCTCTGGTGTCTCTTCTGATGCCACGTGGGACAGAACAGGGCCAGGTACTGGCAGAGTCCGGAGAAATCCTACCTGTCAGCTCATGTGAATGCAGGACATACTGCAGTGTCCCACTAGTCCTTGTGAGGATGGCATGTCTCAGTGAAAAGATTGCCTTGCATGGGGATTTGGGGAGGCCTTTCCTGTGCCCAGCCCTGGGATGCTCACAGCTCAGTGGGGATGCAGAGACAGATATGTCCAGGGGTTTGCTGCAGATACAGTGAGGAGTGTGAGTACTGGGTTCCCTGGACATTTTCATGACAGGTTGTGAGGCTGCCCATGGCAGGCAGGGGAGCCGTGCGTAAAGTGGCTGCATGTAGCAGTTAGCACTTGGACTTGAAGGAAGTTGGAGAAGGCCTTCCAGGGTAAAAGAAGGCCACTAGCAAAAGCCCAGTGACAGGCAGCAGAGAGCGGTGGCTCAGTGTGGTTATGTGTGTGATGTGAGGAAAGGGATGTGAGTCAGGCTTGTGGGTGTGTACCCAGATGAAGGGCATAGTGGCTTTAGCAGGCATGGAACTCCCAGAGCCATGTGTGTCCATGTATCCTGGAGTCTGTGTGAGCACACACATGCATATTTTTCTAGGAAGAGTATTTGATTTAGCGTTGTGGTCTGCCTCCCTATTGTCCCCTGGAAGTAACTGGACTCTGTTATGGACAGTTTCTAGGTTTTATTTCTTAACTTCAGGACTTTTTTGTGAAATCCTAATCTCATATTTTGGTGGCTTTCTTGTAAAGTAAGTGCCTGAACCAATATAAGATCTGTTTAGATCAATGAGGAATCCCTTGGTGGTATGAACAGCGTTCTTAGCTACTAGCCTGAAAGTTGAGGTTTGATTCCACCCAGAGGCACCTTGGAAAAAAGGCTTGGTGATCTGCTTCTGAAAGTTCAGCCACTGAAAACTCTATGGAACACAGTTCTATTCTGACACACATGAGAGCACCGTGGCAACTGGCGATGGTGATTAGATCTAAGAGAGTGAATGAAGCTGGGATTTGAGAGGCTGCAGATGGAGACTTGCAGTGATTGACATAAACAGTCGTTTTCGGTGGAGCCCCTGGAAGGTGGAGTTGAAAGCTTTTCATAAGAAAACTTGAGCCTCGCTGGTGTGAGATAATTGTAAAAGGCAGTGTGAAAAGAGGAAGAGCGCTCCTCATGTTCACACTGCTGAGTAGTAGGAAAGGAGGGCGTGCTAAACGCTCAGTCAGAATAGAAGGAGCTCCAGTGGGCTTGCCACTTGGCTGGGTAGAAGTTGATTTTTTTTTTTTTATTGATGAAGATTACATTTCAAGTTAGAATCTCATACAAAAATTTATACATACATTGTTACGTGACCCGAATTGCTCTCCCTATACTGCGACAGCACACTCCTCTTTACATCCCTCATTCCCCACGTCCATTCAACCAGCTTATAACCCTCTCTGCCTTCCCATCTCACCCCTGGGCAGGAGCTGCCCGTTTAGTCTCTTGTATCTACTTGAGCTAAGAG